TCTTGTTTTGCTTTGGTTCAAGCGATAGCGGGCAAATGTGCTTGTAATCGATCTGAACTGTCAATTAAGCTCAACTCTAGGTTTACTCATTTTGTCTTCCCTTCTGCTAAGGGAAACAAATCTGTGTTCTGCTAAAATTGGATTCACGGGTGATAACTGATAAGCGCAAGCAGCACATATGAGTTAGTATACCTGTCACTGAAGAGGGTTTGGGCACACACATACTTGCCCACACCCAAATCCAGATCATCATTGTCCATACCTTACCCTCCCCAAACTCCTCCATACACATTTGCCCAAACCCACTGGATAATGATCAAGCAATAGGGAGAGGTGCTTGGAGTTGGAGTCTCCTTGGGTACTAGTGGGTATACCCATTTCTAATGGTTAAATAGTTTTCTACCCATACCAACAGACCTCACCCTCCCCAATCTCGTCCATACTCCATACTCATTTGCCCAAACCCACTGGATAATTATCAAGCAATAGGGAAGAGGTGCTTGGAGTTGGAGTACTCCTTGCATCATCCGTCACTAGTGGGTATACCCATATGAAACCCATTTCTAATGGGTAAATAATTTTCTACCCTTACCAACAGGTATAAGAGTTAGGATGGGCTCAACTAATAACAAAGAGTTTTCACAAGATCTCAAAGCCACCTGAAATTAATTGGGTTATGAAAGGTGTATATTTTTGTTCCAAAACTCAACTAGGTAGGCCTGTTTCTTGTAAATTTTGATTTGCTTTCTGTTTTTCTATGTTAACCTCGTCACTTCTGTCATAATCTTGTATACAACTTCAATTGTTTCATGTGCTTGAATATTCTTCAGGGGTTTCAGTATCAACTGGGTGATTTCTGCCTGAGGATAGGAAAATGTGTTCCAAATAATTCTGAAGCACTGAGAGGAATCATGATGGAGGTATCATTTCATTTTCTTCTTTTGAATTTCTCGTGTACTGATGTGAGTCATGTGACTGGTTCTTTGCCTTTTCTTACTAAATATCAAAACACAAACCAAATGATATAAAGTAATAACTTAAGATTTAGATTTGGTAAAATACTGTTTAAAAGTATGCTAGTCTAAGCCAGTAATCCTACAGAGCCTCCTCTACTGATGATATGGTACCCTATGACCTGGTTCTTTTCTTTGAAAGTTTGACTCTGAGATCTATCCTTATTATAAATGGAGTAGTATAAACTGAAGCACTAACTGATTGTTAACCTGATGAACTTTGGTTGGCATAATACCAGGTGTCTTTGCTTACTTGTAAAACTTGTGAGCTTACTGTTCACTTTTGCTTCGCTATTATGACTGCAGTCTGAAAGCATGTTCAGTATCTTCTGTGCCAATGCTAATAGTAGAAAAACTGAACAAAAAGCAATAGTTGAAAAGTTCATGTTATTTGAACTTGTGCCTGCCATGCAAACTTACTTTTATTAATGTTGCTCAAATTTACCGGCAAGCTTGTTTGAGTTTATTCTTACCCTCTACGCAGGTAGAGTATTATCCACTATCTTCCATTGAAAAATCCAAGGCAGTCATGGAGGACTTCTTTGACATATGGCAGGAAACAGTTGCGAAGAAGTCATTACCTGGTCAATTCATTCATGTAGACTCAAGCTTTTCAGATTATGGTCTTTCAGATCAATATTCTTGTCAACATACTGCAGTCCAATATGCAACTTGCTTGCAGCAGCTCATGGCTGCAGTAACAGTAAGGGGCTAGAGAGAAATTCTCAAAATCACTCTATAACGTCTTAGGTTGATTCTGCCTGGATGTATGTTGTGTAATGACATGCAAATGGTCCCCCCCCCCATGTTCTTTTAAGATGCCCTCTACTGGTAATTGGCAAATTACAATGGTCACATTCTGCGTCCGTGGTGGGGTGCAGGCTGAGCCTCCAGCCTTTGTGAAAGAACTCTTGTGTGCTCGAAATGGTGCACATATATAGTCAATCTGACAAAGTTACTGCTCTCCGTTACATCCAAATTATAAGTTGTTTTGGCTTTTTTAAGGTACATACAATATTGTCAAGGTTGTCAAAATCGTAGATTCTAAATCGAATTGGGGATCTTTAGGTAAGATTGTAATCACAGAATCGTATACAAAGAATATGTGAGAACTTTATTTTAGGTAAGATTGTGATCATAGAATCGCATAAATAAAAATTGTAAAAGCTTTACTGATTAGAATAAATAAAAATTGTAAAAGCTTTACTGATTAGAATAAAAACGTAGACTTTATTGATTAACATCGCAAACGTAGACTTTATTGATTTCTCGGATTTTAGTTGGAGCAGTCTAGTAAATGGGTATGCATAATTTCCTTTCTCCCCGTATGCATCTATCTGTGAGTAGACATACATGTAGTGTTCTAACATTGCTTCATGCATTCCTTTTGTCCAGGCTCGATGTGGAGCCTAAGCTAAGTTTAGTGGCTTTAGATGCTTCAGGTAGCATCGGTGGCAATGCAGAATAGCCACAGGAACAGGTCGCTACCTGGAATACATTACAGGGGTAGAAATTATTGATGAGGACCACTTGTATTGTATGTGATATTGGGGCCGAGGGATGAGAATGATAACGTGCGAGGAGGTTGTAACACAAATGACAAACAGCAACGAGTTCAGAGACAAACAAGCACGAGAAGAACATGGGAGGAAAGAGAAGGGATAAGGTAAAAACAAAATCGTCAGTCTAGGTCTAATATTTTTTGATCCAATAGATTAAAGAGGGTTGGAATAGTGAAATAGTATTTTCATCATGTGTGACTTCACGAAGCTCGTAACTTTGATTGTATTCAAATGAAGCCCCCTTGCCTTGGGGTTAAAATTCCGATTTTCTCAAGGGATAGGAAGGGCTTGTTTCTAGAATACCCTTAAGAAGCTCTGTAAAAAAACATAAGTTAGGGTTCAACTTGATCTTTTTTTATTCTAGAGCAGAGCTATTGGAGTTGTGCTCGGCAAAGTTGAGTGTAGAGTAGAAGAAATTAGAGTGGACCGTACTCTTAGTCACATATGCTGTTCGCTTGGTCGTATTTGGTTTATAAGCCATGATTTATCAGTTAACGAACAATATTTTTCTCTCACACTAAACCAGCCAACAGTACTTTGAGCCATGGCTTATAAGTCAAACCAGCCCAAACCAACAGGGCGATAGTATCTTGCAGAATTGAATCTCAAACCAAGTGAATGGCAGCGACAGATGTTCTTTTTTTTTTGACATTCGGCAAGTGTTGGAGCATCTCTAAGAGTATCCAAAACACACTCCCAATCTAGGATTTTTGGAAGAATAAGAAAAAAAATCATCTTTAACAACTCCCAATCTCACATAATCTTTTGGCACTTGGAAAAAAATCCTCCGTTGCGCGTAAAGATGCGGGATGAAAATGGATCGGATCGGTAAGGATAACGCCCCCCGTATCCTAATCCACTTTTTTTATCGGATTTGGTGCGGAGCGGATAATACACGGATGTGGATGTGGTTGCATATTTTTTCGGATGTCAGAACTGGAACGGATATGGAGCGAAACCGGATCATAAACGGATTTAACTTTTTTTGCGAGATAAACGGATTTAACTAGTCGAGTAATACGTGCATACATAGAGAATTATATGCTCCTCAAGAATGGATTGATTAAAGAACCAAGAACGGGCGAACTGATCATAGATCAGTTGGTTGGGTTTTTTGTGGTGGAACCTATCCACCGGTTCAAGTCTTCAACTTGGTAGGGGTGCTCGTATTTTTCTGGATTTATTCCATGATTTAACGGCGCTATGCTTTTAGTGGTAGACGATGTCCCCGTCGACAGCGAAACGCTTGTGGTGACTTTATGAATTTCGAGATCTGCCGACTCAGTCCTCCGGAGGTGCTCATAAGGGTAGGATTTACGTATGTGTGTTCATGGGTGAGTGTGCGTGGGTGCCGTGGGTGTCTACATTGTACTGTGTAATTCTCAAAAAAGAACAAGAACGGGCAATAGATAATAATCTTGCAATAGATTTCATGTTGTGGCTATCACGTTGACAATTAACATTTAACATGATACCTTCCTAAAAAATGATAAATTATTAGCCAATAAGTAATAACATCTAGCAAATTTTTAATTTAAAAATTAGGACATCAAACAACCACATCACAAAATAAAAGTTCTCAACTAACAAACTTTTTTAAATCATGAATTATTTAGTCGACAGAGAGAAATTTTCGGATATCCTATTTTACACCTCGGATAATCCGCATAGAATTTGCGGATAATCCTTATCTGCCAAATTTTACCTGTTCCATATCCTACCCCGTATCCGCACACAATCGGATTCGGGATTATCCTTATCCGTGTGGATATTAAAAGTTCTTCCCTATATCCTCGTAATTCAGATCCAGATTGGATCGGTTCATAGAATTATCCACACCATTTTCACCTTACTCGCGGCGATCTAAACGCGCGTATCGTGCGGCCAATCTAAAGGTGAAAGGGTGGGAAAAAATAAATAGTAGAAAAGAGATCCTGATGCAAATGTACAAGAGAGAACAAATATATAAAAGTGGTTAGAATAATTTAGAAATAGTATATGATTCATATGTAAAATTATATTCTATATTTTAGGAGTAATTTATTGGAAACTGTTAAAAATGATCTTATTTATTTCTCCCAATACTTTTGGCGAGTTGAAAAATTTCATGATTTTGGAAAGAAAATATTAAGAACTGTTGGAGACGCTCTTAAGCGCACATTTGCGGATCTACTATTGCTCACCATTTTCTGCTCCCTGGGAAGGCCACGTCGCCGGTACTGTAGCATGTCGTGCGCAACACTGGTCCACGGTAAGTATGTTATTGTACTCCCTCCATCCAGAAATGCAAAGTTTTGTTTCGCGTCGTTTGGTCCCGGCGTCCCGCCATGGTGCTAGATGACCCGCGCGCGCTCCTGCGAAATGCGAAACCGATCTCCACCAAATCCTCCGCACCGAACGGCGGCACCGGCACAGTGCTGACGAAATGGCTCCGCGCCGCCCTCGCAAGAAGCGCCGGATTCCTGATTCCAAGGCCATGCCGGTGGGTGCGGTGGACGCCGATGCCCTGCTCTCCCTGCCCCAGGAGATCCTCGACGAGGTCCTCGCCCGCCTCGACCTCCGCGACGTCGTTCGCACCTCCGCACTCTGCCGCGCCTGGCGCCACCGCTGGGAGACGCTCCCCTCCATCGACATCTCCATCCTTTCCGGCAAGCAGGCGCTCCGGACCGTCGACTGCGTCCTCCTCCGCTGCTCCGGCCGCGTCCGGCGCTTCTACGTGTCCCTCGACGAGCTCTCGGCCCGCCGCCTAGACGACTGGCTCCTCGTCCTATCCCGCCGCGGCGGCGTCGAGGATCTCTACCTCAGGCCGGCTCTGCAGCCCTACGAGTTCTTCTCCCTTCATTCCATCGTCTTCTCTTGGCGCCGCCTCATCTCCGTCGACCTATTCGCCTGCCACATCCCGCCGCTACCCCCGGACTTCGAGGGCTTTCCGGTCCTTAAAGAGCTAAGCCTTGTCAATGTGAATTTCCAGCAGAACGGGGAGTACCAACTGGAGGAGATCATTGAGACATCCCCATTGCTCGAGAAGCTGATACTATCTGAAGTCTACATCGGGGGAGACGAGTTTATTGAATGGGAGATCCGGGCGCCCAATCTGTGTCACATAACAATTTGCTCAAATATCGATTATGGCTGGAATTTTGCAGAGCTGCCATGCCTGCACTCTGCTGTCATCGATTTGTGGGAGTATGTTGGTCACCGAGATTTTGCCAAATTTCTTGTTGGGCTCGTTCAAGTTAGGAAGCTTTGTCTCTACATATTTTATGCACCGGTATATGCTGTTCTTCCCAACTATTCATTTTATCTCTTCCAAATCTCTAGTTTGGCTGGATCGAAATAGAAGCTGACTAAAATGCCTTATACTAGTTACTACCTGACAATGGGAAATGAGTGGACAGTAATGAGGCGTTACACCTCATAAGGGCTGGGCATATTCGCAAGAAGTTAGTGTCTTACAACTTGTTCGCTTGTTGGTTTCAACCAGCCTTATTCAACCAGCCAACAGTATTTTTCTCTCACAACAAACCAGCACCAGCCAGCCTAAACCAGCCCAGAAACCAACCAGCGAACACGCCGTTAGTGCCTAATTGTGTTGCTTGTGCTAGTCACTTAGTTGTACTATTGCTTTTGTGTATACTTGAGGTTGATGTACTATTCTTGGAAATGGGAGATGGTTTTCCACTAGTATTTGAAGAAAAAATATGCATATTTTATTGGCATCACTAATTCACTATTCTTTCAGCTGTAGTCTAATTTAGGACTTTTGAGCTACTGCATTTTAGTCCCTTCTGTGTTGCTACTTAAACTTATATTTATGGTTGCTGAAGTGTAGTGAACCTTTAGAAAACTTATAAATCAATCATATATTCTTTTAAAAAGGGCTTGCCTCTGTTTGCACGTGTGGGCTGTGGCTGAGTCATATTGTTCTTTAGGTGTAATAAAATGGCCTAAAAAATTAAACAATATCAAAGATTTCTTTCAAACAGAAACCATGTTTGATTGTATCCATTACTGCTTCACTTCAATGGCCTGTGCCCACTTCCTGGAAAATAAGTGAAACTCATCCATGATTTATGATTGTTGTCCTGTATTCCAGCTTCAGTGTTCTGATATTATTCTCTTTCCTTTTCTTTTTTCAGTTAAATGGGATTAAGATACTGGAGACCCTTCCATGCACCTTTGACAACTTGAAGAGCCTGAAATTGTTCATGGACTTCTGTGAACTGCCCCCCATTTTGTCAGTGTTTTGCTTACTAAAGAGTATGCCGAATCTTGAAAAACTTAAAATGAAGGTAATGCTGAATACTACCTTTCAGATATTCTTACCTACATTGTTTGAACTTAGATGGTTGGCTTGCTGCTTTCGACTAACTACCCTTTTCTACATCCACTAGTTTTTGGGTGGCGCCCATCGCTGCGTCCACCGGGTCCACATCCATTTTTGGAGAAAAAAAGATATAATCAAAGTTGGGCTGTATTTTGATTTGAGAAAAATCTGAGGATGTTTTTCAAAAAACGGTGAGAGAGTGTCCGGGGCCTTGAGTTGATTTTCGATAAAGTGGAGGTCTTTTTGCAAACAAACCCGGTGCCATCTGATGCGGGTGGCGTTGATTTGGAAATAATCGAGGCGTTTTTGTAAAAAATTTACGAGAGGGCGCCCGAGCGCGGGTTGATTTCGAAAACTTAAAGGGTTTTTAAACGACGCGGCTCGCCTGATCATCCTGCTGCCGATCGAACGACGCATGAAAAAAGCGGCGACGTACAATGTGCGTGCACCAAATCATATCTTTAGATTTGTGAAGATCTACAATGGCGAAGTGCAGAAAATTGAGCTAAATGGAGAGTTCCTAAATGCACAGTGGGCAGATGGCATGTGTGCCAATCTTCAAATTCTGGAGATGACTGGTATCAATTGGCTTCCAAATGAAATATCTTTTATGAAGCTCATTCTTTCCAAAGCTAGGCTTCTTCGTACGTTATGCATCAGTCATCATGATGATTGCTCAGTGTCTCATGTGGATCCACTGCATGAGCTAGTAACATGTGGAAAAGCTTCAGCTCAAACTCAAGTTCTGTTTAAAGGTAAGATATTAGGAACTTCATTTTACTTTGCACAATTCCATATTTTGTGTTTTGTTTGAAGCAAATGGATTTCTGTGTCTCATATTTCGTTTTCTGAAAGTTAGCAGTGCTCACATTATATACTTTTGACTATAGTACAAGCAAGAGTGATTAGTTAACCCAGGAGTTTTCTGCTGAAGAAATGTGAATGATAATTTAATAACAGACTTGTGCTGAAGTTTTTTGTGCCTTCATGAAGAACCTGACCATTGTTGCAATGCAAGATAAGATATTTTTGCTGAAATGGTCACAGCTATTTTCCTTTCTTGTCTGAAACTTGACCGATTGAGCTTCTAATGATTCCTTCATTCTGCTTCAATAATCAATATAATCCTTTTCATTGTGTATACATTCAACATAGGGAGGCAAAATTCAAACTATATTATTTTTTTCTCTCGAAGTGTTCTTTATCTGAATGCTCACCAATTGCTCGCTTTCATATTAGATTAGGTTATATTGACTTTCCATCAAGGCCTGCTTTCCATATTGGAGTGGGTTCGATCTGAATGATGATGGTGTGGGTAGGAATAATATTGGGAGGACAAGGGAACATTTTGTGTGCTTTGTTTCTATATTTCTATTTCCAATCTGTGTGGATAAAACATTTCATTAAAGGAGCCCAATGGTGCAAGGGAAATCAGATTCAGGGATTCATACTTAGCATAATGCATCTAAATTCTGGATGCTACTCACTGTGCAGAAATGCAGTGGCAATCTGTACGTTTTATTTCATGTCTGCTTTATGTTGCTGCGATGATGTACAATTAAACCGTTCGTCTTTGATCATGCAGGTGCAGCTGAAAATCATTAGATGGATGGCGTCTTCTGTTCATTAGTAGAATTGTTCACTTGAATGAGACGGTGCTCCCATTTTCATTTGTCTTGAATTAGTGTGGACGTCAGAATTTCAGATGTGAAAGATGCAGAAAGTAGCTTGTCCAATGAATTTTAGTAGTTTTTGTATTTTATTCAGAACAAATTGATGTGCTATTGGCAATGTGATAAGGTTGTCACGCTCACACTGCTGTTTTGTATGAGATTCGAGACAGTTGTTTGCTATTGTAGTACTCCACTATACTGTTACAGACTTGGCCTGAGTAGGCGACGTATGGTTATCCTCTTGCTTAGTTGAACGCCATACTAGCCCATGTGCTGTCACTGCAGGAACTCTGAAGGGGCAGCCTATGCAATTTCATCAGACAACTGAAGCTGAAAGCCAGTCTTGAAGCTGGCAGCCAAGCCTCACTGACTTGGCGACTTCTCCAGCCGGCATTGATCTATCTATTCTATCATCCGACGACCTATCTTCAGTATACTCATTCCAGCGCCTAAGTGCTTAGCTTTCATTTTCAGAAGTTAATCTGTATTCAGACTTGCACTAAATTAATTGCCGCGCCATGTATTTGGGTTGGTGTCTCCTGGCTGGCTCTGTAAATAGGATATCAAACAGATGAATTCCTGAACGCTGAATCCGAGTAGCAGTAGTTACAGCTTCGCCTCCATGACAAACTCCTCTGTACTGTGACTCAGTTATCTGCATCCAGTGAAATTGGCTACTGCTTATTAATTCCACCTATGCTATTTGTTTTTTCCCTTCAAACTGTCCACAATCTTGCTCAAGTAGTGCACTTTACAATCATCCTTGTGAGATATTAGCGGTGTTTTTTTTAAAGGTACGACTTTCATCAAATTTTCTACAAGTTGAAGCCAAATCCAAAAATAGACTAATCACAGTTTCACTCTGCCAAAGATAAACCATTTATTGAGAGAGATCGAACTGTAGGAAAAATATAAGGTACTTAGAAAAGGTCAACATACTAAATGGGTGGTGTCACTATGAAAAAGTGTGTGATTAGTACCATTTTTTTTCTTTTTTTTATATGAAATAAATAATGGGTAACTAGTTCGGGGCAAATGTTTGCTTGGTTGCAGTAGATTGAAAAGCAACGGAAGTCATCTTGATGGTCGCTTGCATGTGTTCTGATCGGTTCAACATGTTCATGCTAACGATAAGTTTATATGTCTTGCTCTAGACATATAAGACTGCAAAGCCTTGCACAAACCAATTATCTAATAGTGTTTAGATGCAATTTTCTTTATTTGGACATGTTTTAGCTCCAGGTTGTCTAACTGGACTTTTTTTATGAGTGAGAATAATAGTGGTTAGCATTTCTATTTTAATGACGAAGCTCTGCAAGACAGTGATATGTGTTTTCTGTTGTGGCATACAGCAATAGATGTTCTTTTTTGGTGCAACACAATTTTGTCAGTTCAAGTTAACTCATGTTCATTCAAAGTTGACTGATGATATTCTGATCATGCTTTGTCCTTGCAGGATGGTTGCGAATGATTTCATTTCATCAAAGTAAGTTTCTATGCTATTCCTACATGATACGAAGTTGTACTGTTTTTATTGATGAGGACATCTTGCATTTGTTCAACCTACCTTTTAGTTAGGCTAATTTACTTTTGTTTGGGATTTCCCTCCATTGTCATGAGTTATTTTCCTTGGTTAACAATACTTGTTGTTTTGCCGATATTTGCAGGTTCGTTAATTTTCTTTTTACCACATAAAAAAATAAAATCATTAGGTGATATACTATAGCTATTTGTTTATTAGAATTCCTTCTAATGACTTATGCATTCTGTTATATTTCCAATTGGAGGATCCCTTAATCCGCCATATTAGTATTTCTTTGTATAAGAACTATGCACCTCAGAAAGCTAACTCATGTTACATGGAGTGAATATAATAAAGTCAAGAGCAAGGCTCTAAGGCACTTTTTGAATCTTCAATTGGCTATAAAATGTAATAAAGATATAATTAGATTTGTACCTAAAGATCTGCCACGTGAGGCTGGTAAGGTACTTGTGTTACTTATAGTGTTACACAATACAAAATTTTCTCGCAGGGATAATGATGAGGTATTCAGATGCTTCACTATTTTACACAATATAAGCTAGAAATTATAAATAGAAGTATGTCGAGCCTCCACAATAATCCTCATAAAACCCCCTAGAAAAGAAGATGAATACTAGAAATTCTAACAAAAATCAGAAACACCTGGCTATTAATTCAGTAGACTCTAAACATCATTGATAATAAGAGTCATCGGATCTATGAATTTTTCTAAATGATAACCGACCTCTATGATTGTGAAAATCAACATAAAGTAACACATGCATCATCAATATGTAAATCATCCATCTATACCATTAAGAAACATGATGTAATTAAATCTAAATTTGAATTTAATTACCCGCATACATTGACGAAAGAAAGATTGCCTAGCACGTGTTTCTCCTTGTGGACTTTTATTTCCTTGTGTACAGTGTATCATTGATTCCTACTAAAATTGATCCCTTGGATGATCCTATGTTAGTCCTGGTAGTTACTTTTATGAGCTAATCCTCTCTTAAGGACATGGACTTGTAGTCTGTAGATGATTTACTAGCTCAATGTTAATTTCTCTTCTTTTGCTGCTGATTATAATCTTGTTGGTGGTGTAGACTCATGTTTCTTCCATTTGAGGATCTGGTGTGGATTTAATGTGAGGATGAGGATTTCAGTTCAACGAGCTATTATATATTCTTATTGGAAAAAAGAAGTATGGGTCAAAATTATTCAAAACCCTAATTTTATTGAGCTATTATATATTTTTATTGAAAATAGGTATGGACCAAAAATATTCAACATCTTGACTTTGTTGCTTTTTTTAACACCCCAGGTGTTACGCACCTGTTAAGTAGCGTGTTTAGGGATAATAAAACTTGACCCTTAGCTTTATGTGCTTTTATTAATAAAAATCAATATATGTGATGGCAACAAACCTTATTTGTGTGCTTAAACATCTCTAAATAGACTTGTGAACAAAAGTTATTTAGGGTTTATGTGGAAAAAATGCCTAAAAATATCGAAAATCCTGAATTCCAATCTTTTCTTGATTGCATATTTAGAGCTGATTAAATAATTATTTTGTTAATAAACTTGAAATTATGTTTATGTAAAAAGCTTAGTATAAATTTTGTACCTTGTGGTAGATTGCTTGTTTGTGCGTAGTTTGGATGGTTGGTATGTTAGTTAGTGCTCCAAATTTTAAACAAAATGCTGTTTCCTGGGAGAGTTTCTAGTGCTCAGCGTTTTCGCTGACACTGCAATGTTTAGAGCTGCGTATCTCCTAATCCGTGATGCGAATGACCGTTGTCCCTTAATAAGAGTTGAAGATTGAACCGAGGTGAAGATATTTTATTACTGTGGCTTGGACCGAATTTTCTTGGAATCTCCTGAAATGTGGGTCCCGCGTGGCCACATCGTGCTGCCCCTGCTCTGCTCTGCTCTGGCCGTGCCCACCCCCTGCTCTGGCGTCGCACAGGGCCGCCATGGCCGCCCATGCCCTGCTCGCACGCTCGCCCATGCCCGCCTGCCCGCCCTCGCGCCTTCAAGTGGAGCCCGAGATCCTCTTTTCCTCCTCCGCGCACTCTCCCTCGCCCTGCTCTCCCTCTCCCTCGCTCTTTCATCCTGCGTGCGACGCCGCCATGGCCGAGCGGAGGTCGAGCCGCCGCCGCGTTCCCCGCCCTCCGAGCCCTCTCCACCCTGACCGCGTGCCCCACCATATTCGCCTCTCTTCCCTCTGCGTCCTACGCACGCTCGCAGGATGAATCAGAGCCGCGACGCGCCGTTTCTGCCGCTCTGCCATCGTCCTCGCAGTCGACAGCCGCGAACGAAATCCATGGTGAGCTTCTTGCTTCGAGCCTCTCTACCCCAATAGAGCGTCCCTATGATTTCCCCTTGTCTCGAAGCACCCGGCGCTCGCCTCCTCGGTCTCAGCTCACCGCCGGGGCACATTGCCGTCGCGCAGCCACGCTGCCGCGGCCGCCGAGCACGTGGCCGGTCCGCTGCTGGGCACCTCCGGCCGAGCCGCAGGCCGCAGTAGGCTCGCGCGTGGTGATCCCCGCTCACCGGCCTGCCCTTGGCGCCGGCGTGCCTCCCCAGCCCAGCCGACGGACACAGACCCACGCCCCTCTGTTTTGCTCGTCGAGAAGAGAAGGAGTTGAGGGTTGGAATAGAAACAAAGGTGGGGTTCCTGATGTATATATGCTAGAGAGAAAGTTTTGGTGGAAGCGCTAAAATAGTTTTGGAGAAAGTCCAGGACTCCCTATGCAAAATGTGTTTTCCTTTTTCTGTTATCTTTTTCTTTTATGTGTAAATAGACTGAAACTTCAATAAATCGTAGTAATTTGTAGAAAAATGATAAAATAGAAAATCAAGTTGTTTTGAACTCCTCATGACTAGATCTATGCAGTAGACTTATAATATCATATGCTTTAATATAACGTTTTTGTTGTATGTGTAAATCTAGTTTTTATGTGTTTTTTATGTGTTAATTAATAGAGCATGTTTTCATAGTCCAAATGTAGTGAAATTTTTATGGTAAACTAGTATTGATGTGTGTGTGCACTGGTAAAAATTTCATATACAGTTGATGCATAATTTCTGAGTTACTGATTTATCATGTGTCACGTGCTTTTATGACCCTTAAATATTAATTAAATATTAGTAAATAATATGTTTAATCTTATGTTTAAAACATGTTTTATGTACTGCTTTGTGACATATGATGACTAAGAAAGGTGTACTTATTTTTTATTGATAAGGAGAAGTATGCTTAGCATGATTATGGCAGCTCTCGCTTGTATGTTTAGATGCAAAAGTGGTGTTTTTAATAACTTGTGATATGTTGTTAATAACCAACTCGCGGGTAAGTTCCGATGAGAGAGGATGGGAGTGGAATCTAGAATGTTTAATACCCCAGTTTACCCACGACGATGTGTTGCTTGTCTTGTAAGTTTGTAATGCCTGTGTGTATGCTTGTTTGACTTAAGCATGCATTGCATTATGCATATCATTTAGGAACGATGATCGATCGATGGATCAACTGAAGTATAATGTTGGCGTCAAGCGGAGAGATGGAGTAATGGTGACCAGTCTTGAAGATGGCGGTGAATCATGTCTCGAAGATGGAGGAATACTAGCTTTGTATAATACAAGTTTACCTAGGCAAGCATCGGTGCATAACCCCTATTTTTACATGCACTTATTATTTTGTTATTTATGCATTAAGTTGCAGGTGTTGTTTGAAACCTAAGTGCATAATATTCTATCATATAAGTCCTCCTAGTATAACGGAAATCGTGTAGTATGCCATGCTATAGGATCTACGGTAGAAGTCGGGTGATGGACGGTCACTCGCGAGAGATAGGTCATGGCTCTTTTGTTAGTGCTATCACATGGGTTGGATACGGATAATAATTGGAGATCGGACGGGACTATGAACATTGGTTTGGATGTGGTTGATTATAGCACTAGAGCAAGGCTCTAGTTGCATTAGTCCCGTCTGTGTCGGTTAAAGACTATACCGTTAGTAGCGATGTGGCAAGTTTGAAGGTACCGAACACATAACAGGAGCCTGAGTTACAGTTGACCATGAAGCTTAGTACTTCCTTATGACTAAGGTGCGCAAAACGTTCACCTGAGTGTTTCTCTGGCCATTCTAGCGGTTGTTTTTGGGAGAGGGATGTCTATGGACCAAACTTATGAGGGAAAAACCCGTCGCCGTTTCGCGGGACAGGCCTCATAGGGTGGGTTCCCCGGGGTAGTCAAATCATTTCGGGCCTTGGTCGTACGGTTGGAATGGTTGCCTTGTACATGCTCTTTTGAGAGAAGTACGGGCGTGTGTTTGGAATTGCCTAGCTGGATGTACATCAATTGCAATCACCATCCTTCTCGGATATGGATACCACTTGTCGCAACACTGCTATCGTAGTTAATGCAACTGGAATATGGTGTTGATGATGAGGCTACTGTTGTATTATAAAATATATTCTGATTAATTACCACCTGCTTGAAAATAGTTCAGGTGCCTTTAGGTGCCTAGAATGGTCTAAGTAATGAACTTTGCATATAAGGACGTACTATTAGTAACTAGCACAATATAGCACAATAGGCGCGCTTTCGCTGCGCCGGTTTTGAGGCCACACCACCGGGGAACGTGGCAGGTCACGCGTAATAACAAATCTATCGTTGCTAGATTGTTTTTGGGTAAATGGTCAAAATGTTAGCTTGCTGTATACGGCATGAGAGACGATTAAATAAGAAAGCATGTGACTACAAGCTGTGACAGAATAAAACCATTCATGACCTATAACACGATTAGAAATAACAGGATGGTGTATATATATATATATATATATATATATATATATATATATATATATATATATATATATATATATATATATATATATATATATAATCTGAACATGGTTGCTGGACAAAAGAGCCAAAATAAAAAGTTTGCAAGGCATAACACAACATCAATATATAAACTCTGCAGGCACCAGTACATTATATCTGTATTTATTGAGGTTGGGATTGCAGGAATAACCAAATGCGGCACAGGTAAGATCTTGATTACAATGTGCTAAATACTGGATTGGGGATGTAGCGAAAAAACCCTATAACACCAGGTCTATTATTCATCAGCAAAATACTGTGCCATCCTTTTTAGGCTCCCATCTGACAAAGAATGCTATCCCCTCAGATTGGTCTGCACAAATATGATCCATTATTTACAAAAAAATATAGAACAGTATCATTGTAAGAACGGTTTCATAACAGAGGCAGTGGCAATTCCAGGGTCATCAAACCACGCCAATTGAGCACCTTCTCTCTAAAGTTAGGCTTCAAAAATTATTCACTAATTAAAAAGGATAAAAAACAGGGGTATTATAATAGGCTTACTCATCTTGGTATATTAAATTACATCTAAAACAATTCCTTAAAATAGTTTTTTTTTTTGCAGCTGGTCAATATTTATGTCTATATCATGATCATGCACAGATGAATTTGGAAGCATAGTTAATATAAGATCAAAGAAAAATTCTGTCAAGAAAATATATAAGATGATGCGACCAAAAGAAATGCTCTGTAGAGAGCCTTCTATGTTCATCAACAATTAGATCCATGAGGGACTCGGTGTAATAAGTAATTCTAATTCTAACATGGTTCACATTGTCACTCTTAAAAAACAAACTTCACTGGATATGACGCTATCTATGTTGCATAGTATCATGATAATATGGTGTTACAAAAATAACTAAAAATGTAATTGTTGACAACATCAGATAAATAGAGGGTGGGTAAATCTACCACAGAAAGACCTGATGATGGACGGATGGAAGTAGCACTTTGGCTTGTTAGTAATGCTGTCAATTAATGGCATTTAGAGATACCCTTTGTTGGGCTATTATCGGTAGAAAGATGAGCACAAATTTAGCATAAGCAGTTGATGAACCTATATACTGGAATGAGAAAAATAGTATTAATGTGGTGAGGAAGCACTAACTCACCTATTGAACAGCACTACCATGCACTCATGTTTGGCCCTTGCTGAGAAAAGGAAGAGGAAAATAGTGGGAACTGAAAGATAAATCCCCTATTCATATTAGGGTACTACTGGCACAAATCCAGCATAAGCACGTGAACAACCTATATACTGAAATAAGAAAATTGATATTAATATGGTTGCGGAAGCACTAATTCAGTTATCCAACAGCAGTACCATGCAGTCATGGTTGCCCCTTGGTAAGAAAAGGAAGAGGAAAACAGTGGAAAACTGAAGATAAATCCTCATTCTTATTAACATAAACATATGGAGTTCTACTAAAAATTGCTCGTATATACAACATACATCTCGTCATAGAACTGTAAGAGATAACAGAGATTTAATTAATACGATAAATTTCAAGTGTACCCATGATAATTGTCTTCCTGTTTTTTTCTAGCTTCCAAGTTAGTGATTACATAGTGCTAAGAATTTTAAATGGTGGATTATAAATGCATTCCTTGGTATTCTGATTCAGGTCAACAGAACCTAACATGGCTTTCCTCAGGAAAATGAGTACATTATTATGGCAGGCTCATGAATAAAGCTATCTTTCGAACATAGTAGCCATACAGGGAGGTAGACGATACATGGCCCTCTTAATATTGCAATGAGGATCCAAGAAGAGTGGATAGTAAAAAAGAGTCAAGTAGGAAGAGAAATACATCTGAAAGAGTACCTCTTATAGTTATCTTAGGCATGTTTCATCTAAAATCAGTGCACTGTTTTGACTGGTACAGGTGGTTTTTACATTATATATGTAAATGCAATAGCCTAACATGCAGAAAAAACTACCTGTGATCTGGATTGGCAGTGCCTAATAGGATCCTTTTTTCTGAATCAACGGGCATGATACCTATGTATAGGAAAACATCAACAGACCACCATAGACCAGAGCAAGCACAAAAAACGATTAGGCACAGTAAGATCAACAAACGTTGCAGAGAGTCTCTGTAGTCTAAATCTTCAAAAGTATGAAAAGTCACATGCTAAGACATTTTAGCTTTTATAATGAACAAATATATAACTCAAAATCTCCATGGGAGAATCATCAATATCATAAGACACCAATACTATTAGAACTAACACAAGTGGCTATTTTTTTAATGATCGGCAAATGGTATGTACCTGATGTGTGCCCTAGCTGACATATATAATTGGCCTAGCACCATGTCGTCTCATCCTTGCCCTATAATAGTTTTAGTCAATTCCAATAAGACGATTAAATAAATAATTTCATCATGAAGGTGCACAGAAAGGCCATCTCTGTTAGTAGCATTAAAAGCATTGACTGCGAAAGCCATTCTGTTGAATTTCAGTAAATACCATGGGAATAGAACAATAGGCAATTAGCATAAGCATGCAACAATAGCTAATTAGCATAAGCATGGAAATAATATCTAATTGGTAAATGCTGGAACAAATTTGACACATGGCATGAGTTCTAAATAAAAAATACAGGCTTCAAAATAGAAGGTAGGATAGCAGGAACTTACCAAGGATCAGTCACCTAGTACAACATTTTCCTCTTCGCCCCAGGTAGGGACCCTGAACCTGAAACAGAACACCACAAAATCTGAATGTGTTTGTAAGATTGCGGCGCGCGATAAAGCAACACATAGGAATAATTGGTCAACGGTGGTACACACCACCACGACGGACCAAGTACATTACAGACTGGCTTGGGTGGCCGCAGCCACCAAAAATAGATAGACAACCAACCGAGTAGAAGGCAAGTCCAGATCGGAGAGCAGATCAAGATGGAGGAGGGGACACAAACCTCAGGTGGCAAGGTACTCGAGTACGGCGGTGAGGCAGACCATGGGGAACCCCATAGTTAGCGGCGGAGATGAGGATGAGGGCGGCCTGTGGCCGACGCTTGTGCCCCAGGCCTACCCACACCCCCAAGCGCCGTCGCTGTCGCTGTCTCTTCGTCCTGGTGCGCCATGCAGGCGCCGACGAGGCCGGTCGTGGCATCTGCACGCGCCGCGACCGAGGAAGAGGAAGAGGCGACGAAGCGATCCAATCCACGCATGTACATGCCAGGGCCAGTATGATCCGAAAAAAGGAAGAGACAGGCGTAGCGCTGCATCTACGCGCGCCACGGCTATGGAAGAGGAAAAGGCGAGGAATTGAAGTAAAGGCGGAGGCGGCGAGGTACGGTGCTTGGTTGCGGAGGCGGCGAGGCGTATTTTTTCACAAGGCTGTCAAGAGATCTCCGGCAACTCTAAGGAAGACTCATTTTGACGTAAGACATAACTCAAATATTGAGTATCCTGTCTTCTGAACACTTATTTATAGAAAAATTATTTTTTAAATAATGTTATCGAATAAGACTAAAAATAAATATTAAATCTTTTACTTATAACATTAAAAATGAATAGGACTTATATTTTAGGTCACGGTCGTTAAGACAGTCTACGGTGAGACGGAGGGGAAGGAGATTTGTTTCCTTTTAACCCGATGAGGAGAATCGGAAGGCCCTCGGCAGCATCTAATTAGAGCGACACGTGTTGCGTAGAGACTGGCTAACAGGAGCTGAATCAACGTGATGCCTCTAATATATATACTATCGGCTTGTTCACTGGTTGATTTTTAGGCTGATAAGTTCAATTAGCATCTTGATTTATTGTGAGAGAAAAACACTATTATTAAACTGATTAATAATAAAACAATTGAAATCAACAAACTAATAGCATATATATATACTACTATATATATATATATTATGCTCCTATGTAAAAACAACTAAATAGCTAGCCAATTAGCCCACCTGCATATCCTTAAGAGTCGGGAGACTACTCCAACATAGTCATGTAAGTCTTGCGGAATACATTGTATACTTAGGTTTTATTCCCCCTGTTGCAGGTAACAGGTGGATGCTGGAGTTAACTGTTGCTATGTGTGGATACCTCTGGTGGGGCTCAGCAAGGCTTCCTCTACCGCCGCTATCGTAGCATCTTATTCTTAAATCTCTACTTCTACTTCAATATTCAAAATTGTTTAAATTTTCGTTGTTTTTATATAAAATGACCTTTCTTTCGTTGTTTTTATGAAATATGTTTTGTAATAACTCTGATTTTACGTAACATTGTGATGTATGAAATGATTAAAAATGTTGTAAGGTTTATTCACTTATTTATGATCGTGATGAAAACGTGGTTATTTGAGTTCTCCCTTCGGGTGAGCTCGATAGACTACCGGGTTTAACTTGGTCTCTTGTGTACTTAGTGTCAAATGACTGACAAATATACTTAGGATTAAGTTAAATTGGACGATTCTGCCACACTTTTCTTTGCAGGAGCATAACCTCAAACCTTAAAAAGTTTGGAAAACACCCTATAATCGGAGCACAACTCAAGAAGGAAGATATAATCTCCGTAGCCAGAGCACAACTCAAGAAGTAAGATCTAATCCCTCTCACATTCCATGAGAATTCAGACAACTCATACCGATGAGCACCACGCAAACCAGCTATTGCTCTACAAGTTCGTCAATAGCCCCTCTGGCCTTGGGGTTGACTAGAGGATCTCCCTGCAGATGACAGCGAGTTCTTGTTGGACACATGGTCAGTGATAGTGTGACTTAATCTTTAATTATCAATTTGAATGTTGAACTTGATGCATTCAAATTAAGCGAAATCTATTGGTCTTTGTAAGAATGTGTAAAATCTTTTTTTTGAGCAAAAAAAGTGCCAAGCATTCATATTTTAAGATGTTATGGATTTGATTCTATTCATGATTGTACGTATAATAATTTCTTAATTGTATCATTCGAAGCACTTCTTACGATATACACATGCATGCTGTATGCCACTAGTCTAATAAAACATAAGAAAGTTTGAGCCCTTTTTTATGCACGTATGAGGCACGCCGTCTAGACGGCCTCCCAGAGTGTCCACGTATGTTCTATTTAGTTGGTGTGTTAGATAAAATTCCACAACTCAGATGAAGCGCGTCATAACCAGCCTTCCTCCATGCATTCGGTAGTGGAAATATGAAGCAAGTGGACGTATTCAATGAAGTAGATAAAAATTAAATGTCCATGCGTGGAAGGACAATATAAACTGTAGGTGTATTTTGCATGTAAAAAGTTACTATGGTAGGGGGATTCACATCACTGTGCTTTCACGTGTCCTTTACATAAAAAAAGTAACTATGACAGGAGAATTTACATCACATGTGCCTTCTCCTTTTACATTAATGAATTTACTATCAATAGATACTAGGCAGTAAATTTTCATACATGCACGAGTGTCTCCCTAAGCTATCCAGAAATTCACTCGGTAAATTTGAAAGCCCTGGACATCTTCACCTACGCAGGGTGGGTCGAAAGCAGGTGGACATATTTAATGCCTCCACTCCATGCTACCATCACATAAAAACAAGTCGAACAGGTGGACACATTTAATGTCTCTCCTCCTTACCATCAAATAAAAACAATTCACCGATCATGCAGGAACATTTGTACTTACACATGCATCTAAGAGATGGCTTGGGTTGCGTGCACTGTGCATGTCCCCGCGCCACGGGGTAACTGGTTGCCCGCAAAAAAATATCTCGTCCCCTCCAATCGGCATCCCGTCGTCTCCTCCGCTCTCTCGTCGTCGCTATCGCCCTGCCCTCTTCCTTCCCCTGCACCGCTGCTCCGCCTCTCACAGCGCCGTCCCTCCCCATCGCCTGCACCGGCGGTGCGCCTGCTCCGCCCCCTCTTGCGGTGGGGAGACGATGACCCCTGCGTGGCGCACCGGTGCGAGCACGCCCGAGCGGTTGGTGCCCCTCGGCACGACGGTGGTGCTTGGCGGCGCTGGCGTGGCATGGCCGGGCCTGGCCGCCGCCCTGGCAAGCTGCGTCCCCCCTCCCGGCGTGGGCTGGTGTAGGTGTCTCATGGATCCGTTGTTCCTCATGTCGTCCGCTCGCAGGTTCACTTCCCCTCCCACTCCCCACTTTCTCCTTACCTCTCCTTGCCGGATCTCCCTCTTCCAGTGCTCTCGGTCCTCGTGGAAGTAGGTCTTCCTACCACCTGTGTGCTTTCATCTTTTTTTCTTTGATTATCTTCAATTGAATCTTGTTTGGAACACAGTTCCTATATGTGGCTCGCGGTTTTTTCCCAATTTTGAAAATACGATTATAGCAGCTCCTAATGTCAAAAGAGAAGGGCTGTAGCATTTTCATATTGTCTTGCTTGCAACACCTGTGAACATAGACATTGTGCAAGTGCACATCTGCAGGTTTTCTCATGCAAAATGTGTGCGCTTAAATCTATTAGGGATTTTTTTGTTCTGTTTTACGTAACTACTGAACATATTTCATATTGCAGCTTGATTAGCCTTCCTGGTCAATTCTCATACACATCAGGTTAATAATTGCAATTTTGGGAGCGTTAGCAAATTGGTATACTTCTCTCTTTTGGCTTGTTCCTGCTGAATATGTTCATGGATTTAATAAAGTGAAGTATCCATTCCAGTTCTATGGCGAGCCTAACATATCGTACATTTGCTCGTGGTACTATAGGATGCGTGAACTAATATTTATCGATCTCTGCTCTGTTGTCTGTGTAGTGGCTGACCTTCTGATTGGTCAGGTATAGCATCTCAATCCTAACTTCACCTTTCTTCCAGGCTTCCAATTGATTATTATGCCAACCATTTTCTGAGAGGGAAATAATTTTGTTTTACCGTTGTAAAATCTTTGTCTTTTTTTTGGAGGGGGGGGGGGTCAAAGATTACTATATAAACTACAAAATTGCGGTTTTGGATTTCATGGACATTAGGATTTGATCAGCTCACTATTAGTTGAGATACTTCTTACCAGGATCCTGCACTCCACACTGCAATATTGATTGGCAAACCAAATCCACCCATGCTACCAGAAAAATAGAGCCGCCCAGCGCACTGATGCACCCATCAGCAAATCTGTATGTGTATGTGTGACCAGGTAACATTTCTTGGTTCCAAATATCCATGTTACAGCTCAAAAGCGTATCCATTGACATGAAAAACGTCTCAACCGCCGACTGTGTTAGCGATTATTATATGGATATTTTCTTGCTCATCTATCAAAATACTTGAACTGTGCGTTCTTTCCTTAGTGTTTGATTGTGGTCATCTATTCATCTTTTTTTCCTTAAAATTCATGTAGCAATTTGGGTCAGATTGTGGTCATTTAGCTATGATTCTTAGTGTTTGATATAGTAAATTGTCCTCCTTTGGCCTTTTCTATTTTAGTTTCCACATGGAGTACAAGCCACCTATGTTATGTGCAATGTGAATGTTACTTTCTTTTTTTTTGGAGATGGCTGCACATGGGAAATGGCTGCAGATCTCAAACTGGTTATCAAGCGATGAGAGGTAAACAAGAAGCAATCATTCTCTACATGATGTACTGTTAAGATTGTGACTTCATCTTTGGTAAAAAAGATAAACAGAAGAAAAAGCATTGCCTACATATTCACATGTCATAACAATAGATTCTTTTTGTCTAACAAACATAGTGATTTGTTGCTCACCATGGGTTAATTTTATTTTTTTGTGGAACGTACCTGCATTTTCTTATTGCATTGTTTTTACCTCAATTCAATGGCCATGTGGTTGCCTGCTTAATTTTCTCTACAAGATCTGTATAGGATTACTAAGCGCCTTGTTTTTTTAGGCGGTTCCATGCATATAGTCTTCGTATAATTCATCAGGGCCAATTGATTGGTGTTCTTTTTTATTTTCCTAGAAGATCAACTGCTGCCTTTTTTGGGACCAAAGCCTAATTTTGACCAGATTCAGTCATCTCTAGGGGTCTGACAAAAAAAAGCATTTACATTAGCCTGTGTGATGCCGAAGATCGTGGCCATGCCTTTGTTCCTATGTATTAGGTGAAGAGTAAGAAGCACAAGGTACTTGATTTACAGGTTAGTAACTTCCTTTATGCCTCGTTTGTGGTAAGGATTTTTTTCCAATGCATAGTGTACTAATGCCTAGCTTCAGAAAATTCAGTCTCACGTCATTCTTAAACTTAGTGACTATATTGTTACATGATATGCTAGGCCTGATGAAATTATTGTTTTTGCAATTTAGTGACCATCTGCTACCTCGGAGACATA